CCGCGGACGCCCCTGCCGTTACCCCGCAGCGTGGCACGGCCCGAGGCCCGCGCGGCGCGCAGCCCTTAAAGCGCTGGCTTTTGAGCGGAAGGCGGGAAATGGCGGACTCCTCAGGACTCGGGCCTGGGTGAGTGGAGGCTCCGCAGCTGCGGGGTCGGGGGTGCGGAGCGGCCCTGCGGCGGAGCTGCGGGGGGCGAGTCGGAGGAGCCCGCTCGCCCGGCGCTGTGCGCATGCTTGGGAAACTCGGGCTCGGACCCGAGTTCGAGATGCGAGCCCTCCGTCCGCTTCGATGCCATCGGCTCGGCCTTTCCCGGGCCAGGAAACGGGGCTGACGACGCCCTCCGTGAGGCACAGAACGGCCCGGGACGTGGGGACGGAGAAGAACGCGGGCCCGGGAGCGAGAATCCGGCCCTGGGGCCCCGGGCCCGGGGCCGGGCGGCTGGGCCCCACTGCGCATGCGTCCCGCCGTTGGGCGCCGGTGGCCCTGGATCGCGGTTCGAAGCCAGGCCCGGGCAGGAAAGTCCCCGTGAGACGCCTATCTCCACAACACCAACAAGCTGGAGAAGGAGCTGTGCCCCAAGTGCATGGAGTGCTAGACACGAGCGAAAAGGCTCAAGACAACACCCAGGCCCTGAGTTCGAGCCCCGGGACTGTCACCCTGGCCCCGCAGCCCCGCCCCTCCCGGGTTTACCCGCAGTCGCGTCATTCTTTTCTTTGAGTGGTGGTTTTGGGTTGAACCCGAGGCTTCTTGCTTGCTAGGCGAACACCACATTCAGCCGAGCCTTTCGCCCTCTTTGGTTTTGGTTTTGGCCGGGAGGGCGCGTTTTTAAGATAGGACTCCCCGCAAGACCGTGACCGCCCTCCTAATTGCATCTTGCCATAGGTGTTTTGTTTTGTTTTTTCTTTTTTGCCAAGCTAACCTGGAACTGTGATCCTCCTGCTCTGTGCTTCTCCCCCACCCCAAATCCTGGGGCTGAACTCTGGGCCTAGGTGCTGTCCCTGAGCTGCTTTGGCTCAAGGGTAACGCCTCTACCACTCGAGCCACTTCTGGCTTTTTCCGTGATTATTTGAAGAGTCTCATTAACTGCCTGGGCTGGCTTCAAAGCACGATCCTCAGATCTCAGCCTCCGGCGTAGCTGGTATGACAGGTGTGAGCCGCTGGGGCTGTCGTGATCTTGGCCTTCGGCGTAGCTGTGTTGGTAGGAGTGCAGCTGCAGCATCATGCCTATCTATTAAGATGGGGGCTCTCAAAGCTTGTTGGCTAAGCTGATCTTGAACTAAAACCTAGCTGCAACTAAGTGATGTGAGAAAAGTGTCTTTTCTATCAAAGTAATTTGCTTCCTTCCCGTTAATCTTAAAGGAATTGTTTTTCTGCAGGTTTCTGCTTTGGCCTGGTGGCCTGGCCCTTGTTTGGATTCCTGTTTGATCACATACATTTGATTAAGGCATCGTGTTAGACATTCCTTGAATTTAGTGGCATCCTTTAAGCCTCTTCCTTTTGCAGATTGTGAACCTTAGCTCGGCCAATGGGAGCTGAGGGGCGTGGCCTGCTGGTTTAGGGACTCAAAAGGGAGCAGCCTCCCTGCTCTTGGGTGTTTGCTTGCCAGATTTTTTTTTTTTTTGGTCGGTCGTGGGTCTTGAACTCTGGGCCTAGGCGATGTCCCTGCGCTCTACTCTTCAGCTAAGGTGTGCTCTCTACTGCTTGAGCCACAGCGCCACTTCCGGTTTTCTAGTGGTTTATTGGAGATAGGAGTCTCACAGACTTTCCTGCCCAGGCTGGCTTTTAACCACGATCCTCAGATCTCAGCCTCCTGAGTAGCTAGGATTACAGGCGTGAGCCACCGGCGCCCGGCTGCTTGCCAGATTTTTGGCTGATGGTGCACTCTTCTGCAGAAGTTAACCGGGCCTTGCCAAGTTCTTGTCAAGGTAGTGTCTTCATTCCTGTGTGACATTCTGAACTGTGAGCTGTCAGTCCCAGGCAGCGTCTACACCGTGTGCATGCGTATGCTAATCCTTGGTCTTTAACTTGGGGCTTGAAAGCTGTCCTAGGGCTTTCATGCTCAAGACTGGCGCTCTACCACTTGAGCCACAGCTCCACCTCTGGCTTTTTGGTGGTTCATTGGAAATAAGAGCCTCAGGGACTTTCCTGCCTGGACTGACTGGGAACTGCGATCCTCATGTTGCTCCAGCCTCCTGAGTAGCTGGGATGACAGCAATAAGCCACCGGTGCCTGGCTGTCTGGGAGTCTTTATGTCACATGCCTGACCTACCCATGCCTCACACACACACACACACACACACACACGGCACCTCCTCCAGGCCGAAGGCTTGGGGTGCTCACCGCCGCACCCCAGGGCATGTGGATGCACAGAAGCCTGGGGGAACGGGTGGCCAGCCCGCAGCTGATTCCACACCAGAGACAGAGCCGCGCTCAGAACTCTTCCCATTCTTTCCTTGGCCCAGGAATTTAACCCACAGGGGCTCATGTGACCCCCCACTTACGTTGCCCTGGGACGGCCTTGGGACCTGACTTGTCACTAGCCCCACCTAATGGACAGACCTCTTGATTTCTCTGCTTTTTTATTTAGTGGTCCTGGGGATGGAACTCAGCTTCACAGTGCTTTACCACGCATGCGTGGGTCTGCCACCAGTACTGGAGCCTGAACTCAGGGTCCACATTCTCACGTAGCCTTTTCCCCCAAGGCTAGCACTTCACCCCCTTGAGCCACAGCTCTCAGCATTTTTGCTGGTTAATTGGAGAAAAAGAGAGTCTCAGAGGTTTGTCTTCCCAGGGCTGGCTTTGAACCATGATCCTCGGATCTCAGCCTCCTGAGTAGCTGGGATGACTGGCCTGCGCCACCCACCCTTGGCTGACAGAACTCTACCACTGAAACCACACCTTGGCCCTCCTGTTCGCTTTAGCTGGTTTTCACATGGGTTCTGGGTTTGCCCAGGGCTGGACGCAGGCAGAGCTGCTTCTCCTTATGTGTCCTGCGTAGCTGGAGCACAGGCGTGTATCACCGGAACTGAATTGTTCGATTCGTTGATCCGGGTGGGGTCTTGCTGCTGGGCTCGGTGGCTTGCACCTGTACTCTGGCTCCAGGGAAGTTCCTGTGATACCATAAGCTACTCAGAAGAAGCGGGAGGGGGCGCTGTAGCTCTGGTAGAGAGGTAACCTGTACTAAAGGAAGATCAGAGACAGGTGCCCAGGCTCAGAGTTTGAACCCCAGGAGTAGCAAAAAAAATTAACGAGGCTTCCTATCTTTTTGCCTAAACTGGCTTTCGTTTAGTCCTCCTGATCTTGGCCTCCGAGTGGCTGGGATGCAGGCCTCCGCCTTGCATGGGTTCAAAAGGTGCTGTTTCCATGGTGACGTGGCTGAGCCGTCTCTTCTCTTGTAGGAAGCTTTCGGGGCCTGCCACCCCCTCGGCCAGGGCGAAGGGGAAGCGAGCACAAGGTAAGCACTGCTCCCGCGGGACGCCGCAGTGCGGCTTCTTTTCTTTGTTCTTTCTTTCTCTTTGTGTTTGGTGTGTCCTGGGTCTTGAACTCAGGACCTGGATGCTGCCCCTGAGCTTTTTTTTTTTGCTCAAGGCTAGCACTCTTGCCACTTTTGAGCCATGGCTCAAAAAGCATTTTGACAATTCATTGGTGATAAGAGTTAAACACACCTTCCTGCCCTGGCTGGCTTCAAACCACAGTCCTCCGATCTCAGCCTCCTGAGCAGCTGGGACTACAGGATTATGTAGCGCAGGTTTCTTGCAGCGTGTTTGGGGAGCACAAAACCGGCTACAGAAAGGGGGCTGCTGCCCTGCCTCTAGCCACACGCTTCGGGGGCGCTGGAGTCTGGTGGCCGCCGCCCTGCGGCTCGGAGTCCTCTGGGGCCCTGGGGGTCCCTCTCCACCTCGGGGGTGGGGCTGTGTTCCAGAACATGTCCCTGAGCATGATGTCCCCGGAAGTTAGTGTCACTCTAAGCCCCACCTGCTCACCCTTAGCAGAGCTCACCCTGCAGTGTGGTGCTGCCTGTTGGGCACGCTTAGAGGGCCAGCCTGGCTCCGAGGGCCGCGTGCACTGCGCCGGTCCCTGCAGCCTGAGCTGAGCGCAGCCGCGTGCACCGCGCCCGTCCCTGCAGCCTGAGCTGAGCGCAGCCGAGTCCCCGCCCCTCGCTGCCCAGCTGGCTGACCTTCGCCTCCTTCTCTCCGCCAAAGCGGAGTCCGGCTCCTGGCGCAGGCAGTGGCGTGGCCGGCCGGGCTTGCCCTGCCAGGCCTGCGGCTCGGGGCCTGGGCCTTGGCGCTCTCCTCAGTCTCCTGAGGCCGGAGGGAGAGCTCTGCCCAGAACACCTAGAAAAAGCCCAAGACCGGCATGGCGGTGCACGCCTGTCATCCCAACTACTCAGGAGACTGAGATCTGAGGATCGTGGTTCCAAGCCAGCCTGGGCAGGAAAGTCTGTGAGACTCTGATCTCCCATGAACCACCAGAAAACCAGAAGTGGCGCTGTGGCTCAAGTGGTAGAGCATTTGGCTTGAGCTGAAGAGCTGAGAGACAGCGCCCAGGCCCAGAGTTCAAGACCCATCACCAACAAAAAACAAAAGGCCAGCAGTGGTTGGAGAAGGGCAGCAATGCGCTCCCGCAGGCAGCCCAGGCCTCACGCTGGCGAAGGGCAGGACGCAGCATGGCTGCGCGCACCCCGCCCTTGCCCGGGCCAAGTGCCGCGTGCGGCTGCATCTGCTCCGCACCCACCAGTGTCCTGCAGGTCTTCCCGCAGGCAGCAGGGGGCGCACAGGCGCTGGCGGCTGAGCAAGCCGGGCTGTCCACGCCCGGGTCTGGGTCTGGGTGAGGCCTCCCGGCCGGCCAGCCTTCCCGGTGCCCCGTGGTGGTCTTGTCATCAACCGCGGTGTGTCGCCCGCAGGAGGAAGAGTGGTCGAGTCCCGATACTTGCAGTATGAGAAGAAAGTCAGAAAGGTGAGGCGTGCGCCAGCTCTGGGGGTGTCACGGGGGGGGTGTCTGTTCGCGGGTCTCCTCATCTCGGCATATTGAAGATGTAGTCCCTGAACGACGCGCGCTCTCTAGCGCTCCCCATCTGTTTTGTTGTTGCTTTTTGTGTGTGTGTGTTTTTTTAATGCTGGTCTTGGGGCCTGAACTCTGGGCCTGGGCGCTGTCCCTCAGCTCTTCAGCTCAAGGCGAGCACTCTATGGCTTGAAACACAGCGCCTCTTCCAGTTTTCTAGTGGTTCTTGAAGATGAGTCTCACAGACTTTCCTGCCCAGCCTGGCTTTGAACCTCCATCCTCAGCTCTCAGCCTCCTGAGTAGTTAGGATGCCAGGCGTGAGCCACCGGCCCAGGCTCAGGCTCCGCTTCTTGCCTCCAGGCTCTACTGGCAAAACTCCACGCGCTTCCCACCTGGTCCCCGCGTGGCGTGTGATTATGGTGGTTTTTCTTGGCTGAGTGGACTCCGCTGTACGCATGGCTGCGCATTGGTCATGTGATACTTGCATAGCTGGTGATTTTGGTAACTACAAGCAGTGGCTAAGGGTTGAGGGCCCCTCATCCAAAATGCGGGGACCACGAGGAGTCAGGCTTGGGGTGTCCACAGCTTTCCTGAATCAAAATCTGAATTGCCAAGTGCCTCAAGATCTAGAACTTGCAGTCGGGCGCCTGTGGCTCCCGCCTAGCAGCCTAACAACCCAGGAGGCTGAGGTCTGAGCATCATGGTCCAAAGCCAGCCTGGGCAGAAAAGTCCCAGTGGGACTCTGATCTCCAAGGAGCCACTCAAAAACAAAGTAGAGCAGTGGCTCACGTGTTGGGCGCCAGCCTCGGAAAAGCCCATGACGGACGAAAAAGGAAAGGGGAAATTGGAACTTTCTGAGCTTCCATCGTGTTGGCCCTTAAAAGGTTTCTGGGTTCAGAGTTAGGGTTCCAGCAGTGTGAATGCTTCGCCCGTGGTTTGGGGGTCCTGGGAGCGTGCATGGGGACCCTGGTCGTTACCCCGAGGGCCCCCGCTGGGCGCGTGGTGTAGACTTGGCTCTCTCTGGGATGCGCGTGTGCTCCTGAACCCCAGCTCTTGATGGAGATGGGATCTCAGAAACTTTTTGCCTGGACTGGCCTCAAACCACAATCCTTCCCAGTAGCCAGGATTATAGGCGTGAGCCACCAGAGCCGGGCTCTTTTCCTTTTTGATAAGGGAATGATCAGGGCCGAACTCCATTAGTGACACTTAGTTTCTTTGTAACCATTGAAGAGTAACGCTGGTGTAAAGGTTTTCATCTTCCTGGAGCCCGGCGCAGTCTGTCCTGTGCTGAGCACACTGTAGGGACTGCCGGCAGCCCCCCTCCGCCGCGTCGGCGCGGGTGCGCGTCCACGCACGAGGCTGGCCCCAGTTAGGGCAACACGTGTTTGTCCTTCCTACGTGGGGTCACCGGAACCCCCTGGAGAGCGGGCTCAGCGCTGGGCACCTGCTCTCACTGTCCCCCACTGGCCCGCAGGAGCCTGCGTCGGACCCGCCCAGGACCCGCGCCAAGGCGCCCGAGGCGGGGAGGAAGGCCGGCGCGCCCCACAAGGCCAGAGGTGAGGCACGGGGGGACACTGTGTCATCAGCACCACCCTTTGTGGGGCGCCGGTGGCTCACGCCTGTCACCCCAGCTCCATCGGAGGCCGAGATCTGAGGACTGCAGTTCGAAGCCAGCCCTGGCAGGAAAGTCCATAAGACTCTGACCACCAAAAAGCAAAAAATAGAGCTGTGGCTCAAGTGGTAGCGTGCCAGCCCTGAGCGTAAGAGCGCCCTGGGGTGTCGGCTGCCAACCCACAGGGAGGCCCCACCCCTCACCCCCAGCACGGACACACGAATGGCTCTGACCCCTGGTTCTAGAAGCTTCCACCAGAATGAGAGAAGTGGGTTCTCGTGGTGGCATGGGAAGCGAGGGCCACTTTGGAGGGTGTTCCGTCACTGGCACGTGTGAGGCTGCCCCTCGTTTCCTGGGAGGTTTTACTTAGCTTGGCTTTGTTCATCTGGGGCAGCCCCGCGCCCCGGGCCCCGGGCGGCCGGTGGGTGGGAGCGGCCTGGCGGGGGCGGCGGGTGCCGGGTCTCCGGGCGCGCGTGCGCAGAGGGTCTGACTCGAGGGCTCTGCTGGGCAGCGGACAGTGGGCTCCGGCGGGAGCTGCAGTCCTCGGTGCTGGAAGGACACGGCTCCGCCTCCCCCCACCGCGACCTCGACCTGGACCTGTCCGCCATTCACGGTAGGTCCCTCCGCGGCGACGCGGCCCGCGCGTGGTTCTGTGCGTGCAGCGGCGCCGGGTCTGTCCTGGGCTAGGGCGCTGTGATTCCACAACGTTCTGCACAGGGGCAGCCGAAGGGGGACTGGGGTCCCTTGAGATGGGTTTGTCCCCCTGTGATCGTCATGAGCCACGGTGCGGGCGTCACCACGGCCGCCCTCTCCCGCTGGGAGCCAGGGCACGCCGGCCGTCCCGGCACCTGGGCGAGGGCAGGAGGGGTAGGAGTCGGAGCCTGGTGGACTCCACCGCAGAAGCCCGTCTCAGACACTAGACGGGCGGAGCGAGGCCCCGGCCTCAGGCCCTGCAGACAGGCGGAGCGAGGCCCTGGTGTTTGTCTTAGACTCAAGCATGCTGAGAAAGACGCTCCCACTGGAAGAGACCGTGTACAAGCAGGCCAGGACGGCGGGCTCCGGCGCCCCGCAGAGGAAGAGCCCAGTAAGAGCCTGGAGGGGCGGTGGGGCGCGGTCTCCCCCGCTGCCACAATCATCTTCATTCCCAAGTGGGCAAAGTCAACGGGCCTGTGGGGGCAGGGCGTGGGTCGTGGGTGGGTGCCTTGCCCAGCTGGAAGAGACCCTCGTCCCTGGGCCTTCATCTGAGGGCCCGGATGCTGGCCCTGAGCTTTTTCACAGAAGGCGGGAGCTCTGCCACTTGAGCCACAGCTCCACTTCTGGCTTTTTGCTGGTTCATTGGAGGTCTGAGTCTCATGGACTTTCCTAACCGGGCTGGCTTGGACCCGCGATCCTCTCATCTCAGCCTCTTGAGTAGCTGGGCTGTGGACGGGTGCGGGGTCCGGTCGTGCGTGGACTGGCTCTGGCCTACACGGCCGCTGGGGAGCTGAGGCCTCTCCGTTCCCTCAGGATCTCCTGGAGATGTTGGACATGATCGAGTCGCAGACATTGCTCCTGTGCCTGCTGACCGTGAAGGTGAGGGACCCTGGCGCCGGGCCAGGCCGGGGAGCACTGCCGGGCCCCCAGCCTCACCCCACGTCCCGTGTCTGCAGATCGAGAGCAACGTGGCGCGCATGGAGGCGGCGGGCGGGCGGCGGCTGTCGCTGCTGTGTCGTGAGTGGGCGCGGCTGCAGCGCCAGGCGCACGAGCTGCGGCACCGCTGCGCGCTCCGCGACCGGAGGCAGGCGCTGGCCGTGCTGCTGGACACCCAGGTCTCCCCAGCCCGGCGCCCCACGCCCCAGTGTATCCAGACCCACCCCAGGCCGAGCTCCGCAGTCACCTCTGCAGACCCACCACTCCTGAGGGGGAGGAGGGAGGGGTCACAGTGCAAGAGCAGCCCCCAGGTCCGGAGGGCCCCCTCTGCTCCCCGTCCGTCCCCTCGCTTCCAGCCCCCTCACACCCGCCCTCACCCTGGATTGCAGGATGAGATGCTCCGGCCGTTCCGGGCCGTGGCGGACCGCTTCCGGGAGCAGTACCGGGACTTGGCCTCGGCGCTGGACAGCACCAGACACGAGCTGCCCGTGCATGCCATCCACCTGCCCGGGGACGGGCCGCGGCTCCTAGGTATGCGTGCGCGTGCACACTGAGCCTTCCCGCACCCAGGCTGAGTTTGAGTCCCAGTACCCACACTGAAAGAGGCAAGTTTGGGTTTTTTCGTTGTTTTTTTGTCGGTCATAGGGCCTGAACTCTGGGCCTGGGCGCTGTCCCTCAGTTCAAGGAGTGCTCTACCACTTGAGCCACAGCGCCACTTCCGGCTTTTTTCTTTTTGCTTATGTGGTGCTGAGGAATCGAACCCAGGGCCTTGTGCACAGGAGGTGAGCGCTCTACCACTGAGCCACCTTCCCAGCCCTAAAATAATTTTTTAAAAGAATTAATGGTCGGGCACCGGTGGCTCCCGCCAGCGATCCCAGCTCCTCAGGAGGCTGAGATCTGAGGATCTCGGTTCAAAGCCAGCCGGGCGGGACGCCCATGAGACTCTGATCTCCATTGCACCGCCACTCGCCCTGAAGCCAAGCTGCGACTCCAGCGGTGGAGCGCCGGACTTGCGTCAAGTCCAAGGGGTGGAGCGCGGCCAGCCCCGCGGCCCTGCTCCTCACGCACCCGCTCCCCGCTCCCCACAGACGCGCTGCAGCCCGAGCTGCTGGAGACGCAGCGGCTGCTGCGCGCGCTTGGCGTGGACTCGGCGGTGGGGGAGGCGCCGGTGCTGGAGCTGCTGAGCGAGCTGCGCACCGCCTCGCAAGACAAGGACGCGCAGCTCCGCAGGTAACGCCCGCCCCGCATCCCGCCCCGGGAACCCCAGGCAGCTCCCAGCCACGGACCCCCAGAGCAGCCAGCGGGGGTGACGCCTGCCCTGTGCTGCGAGAGTCGTGGTGAGGAGCTGGGACCCTGGCCCGGGGTCCTCTTCCACCAAGGTCCTGCCGCGCCCCGACTGCTCTTGGCTGAGCTGTGCGCCAGCGCGGGTGCCCACGGTCAGGACTTGAACTCGGGGCCTGGGCCCTCCCAGGCTGGCGCTGCCCACACGGCCACTGGAGCCACCGCTCCCAGCAAGTTCATCCTTTTTTGCTTCCAAGTTTTTCGCTCCTGTCTGGAGGAAGATCTTCCTCCTCCTTTTCTTTTCCTCCCTTTGTCCTAACTGGGGCCTGGCGCTGTCCTGAGCTTTAGCTTTTCTCTGGTCAAGGTGGTGTCTTACCGCTTGAGCCACAGCTCCATCTCCCACTTCGGGGGGCTCGCTGGAGACAGAGTCTCATGGGCCTTCCTGCCCGCAGCTGACCTCAAAGCATGATCCTCATAACTCGGCCTCCCGAGTGGCCGGGTGCCTGGCTTGAAGAACCGCAATCCTCCGGACGCAGTGGGCAGTGAGGATCCAGGGTTTGGTGTTCGCTGACACGCAAGCACACCCAGAAAGACGTGGGGGCCGCCTGGCCTGGCCTGGCCAGCCCTGTCCAGCGCCCCCGGGCTGAGCCTCGTCTCCCCCGCAGGTTCTTGTGGCAGGTGCTGGAGCTGGACGCGGAGGCCAGCCGGGAGGCCGCGCTGCGGAGCCAGCAGCTGTGGGAGGAGGCCGCGGGCCCGG